AGGGGTTTTGAAGTAAATTAAACTAGTTTTGGTTTTGGCGACAGCACCCCCCCCCCCCCCCCCCCCCCCCCTGCAGCGGGCCTAGTCGCCGCTAGAGCTCTCCGAGGCCCCAAAGTCGCAGCCAGTCAGAGACAGCAAATGGCTTGTGTCTGGAAATATTGGCCCTCAGCCCGTGCTTCAAGTCCCGCCATCCCAACCTCCAGCCTGCGCAAGCGTCTGCCGTCCGCTAATAATGACGCATGGATAAGCTATCGCCCTTGTCCTTGTATCAGTGAGCTGTCATTGCTGCCGTCTTTGCCATGCCAGCTGAAGACAGAGTGGGCTGGGCCCAAGAGCCAGGGCCACCGACCTCGTATCCATGGATAGCAACAGAGGACTGACGGTGATACTGGATCGTACAAGCGCGGACACGGCGGCGAGGCTGTTCAACCGTGCCAAGCGGGTTAGCATGAGCAGGCAGCCCTTCGATCCTGTTTTCCCCATACTGATGCCGATGCCGATGCTTGCTATCGATTTCCTCTTCTTCTTATCTTTCGCAAGCACAAGCACAAGCACAAGCACAAGCTGGCGGAGCGCCTTTATGCAAGCCCACGGACCCTCCCCCAGCCCCCAAAACTTATACTTTTCCATCGTCGAGGAACGGCAGCTTCTCTTTTCCACCACACTTTCCCCCCTTCTCCTCATCCATATATACACGTACTCGACAGTTGTCGTCTTTGTTGGCCAGACCAGAAACGCCTCTCAGCAACCCTGACCCGACTGGGCAACCCGGAGACCTGCAGCCAATCTGCCCCAGACTTTGCCCCAAGAGGAGACTCCAGACGAGTGTACGAGTAATTCTCCAAAAGAGAAGACGGGACCCGCCCTCACTCGAAAACCCTCTTGCTAGACCTTTCGGGTCCGGCAATAGTTGAACCCAAAACCCCAAAAGCCCTCTCCGCTTGGCCTGCCGGTGGTGGCGTGTGTCTCGGATTCGTCCAGTCTCGTAAACTTCAAGACACCCCCTGCCCTGCCTGCAGCAACACGGGACTCGCATACTCAACTGCCCCATTCGTTCAACTCTTGACAGTATATTATCCGCCGCCATGGCTCCCGCGGCTTACCATGATCGTGATGGTCATCTAGAGGCTGGACTTCTGAAGAACACCCAAGGAGAGAAGCAGACCGGATACCATCAGCACCTTTCACAGCAGACCCCACGCAACAAGAAGAAGATGGTTTACTTTAGGCGGGCGTTGTTCATCATCGCAGTGGGCTTCGTCCTCGGCTTGGGCGTTGCCACTGCTCGGCCCAGCGTCGTCAACTGCCACAACTCCAAGGTGGCCGTGGCCAAGGCTCACGCCTCCAACGGAGAGCTGGCCGAGGCACTTCAGAAGGCGTCTCCTGACCTGCTTCACCGGTTGTTGCATGCCTATCTCCCTGAGAGATACCAGCACGGCGTCTTCCCCTCGGACCGTGATGCCATTGATGCTATCCATGGCGACGACCCTTCTGTGGCTTCGGCTATTGTCCAGATTGCCAAGAGACAAGAGGATACACCAAACAACAACAGCACCATCCCCAATGGATCGTCTACAGCGCCCCCGTCCTCTTCGTCTACTTCGATCCAGGAATCCTCAACAACCTCACCTGAGCAGTCCACCACAGATTCGTCGTCATCTACAACCACCACTCCCGAGCAATCCTCGACTGAATCCACCACGAGTAAGTTCCACTTCGACATTGAAATTATCATTGTGACGATGACTAACTCTTGCATCAATAGCCCAACCCGCCAGCACCACTGCTGGGTCCACAACCACGGACTCATCATCTTCAACCACTGCTCCGGCCTCCACTACCGCAGGACGCACCACCACCGACGAACAGACCACTACTAACACCGGAAGTGCCACCTCCACCGAGCCCCCAAGCTCGACCACTTCTCCTTCTGAATCCACTACTTCTACTGGTACGTCCACTACAGGAAATGAAGAGACCACTACGGCTGCCTCCTCCTCTCCCACCACCACTGCTCCAGAGTCCACCACCTCTTCTGGTAGGTCGTCATCAAGCATCGTTTCATCGCTTACCGATGCATCTACAACTGCTTCTGATACTTTGCCCCCTTCCTCTTCTACCTCTTCCCTCCCTTCCTCAACTTCCCCTCCGGAATCGACGACAGCGACAGAGACCACTACTGGTATGTCAGATTTTCGCGTTGTCGTTTGACATTGTCGAGACGGACATGCCAACTCTGGTGTTGATGCTTGAACCATTTGCTGGATGTAAAAAGAGAACTCTCCTGGTTGCTTGGTTGCGAGTGCTTCAAGTTTTGCGAGACGAAACTGTCATTTTCTTCTTCTCTCTTGTGGAATTAAAACAATCGCCGTATCAATAACTAACACGCTTGATTCAAACAGACAACACCATAACATCGTCAACCACTTCAACTAGCGAGGGTCCGGCAACAACCATTACTTCAGGCACTAAGACGACGTCTGCTCCGGTTCTCCACACTTACACCAGAACTCTTCCCAACGGCGGCACCACCACCCTCACTTCCACCTCATGGGTTGCCGTTGTCCCTACCGACCAGGCCGAGGGATCCAAGAGTCCTGACCTTCAGAACGCCGCCTCTCTTCCTCGCGGCGAGATGGTGCTGCCTGCTGTCATTGGTCTCTTGGCTGGAGCTGTTCTGATGGTATAAGACGGACATGACCGACGTCTCTCTCTTCCCTTTTTTCCTCCCAATATTTTCACTCTCTTTTCAACTTGCATAAGCATCAGCGTATCCATACTAGAGGAACTGGCAACGGCGTTTCATTCATTTTCCATCTCAACAATTCACGGCCACTTCCTTACCACTCATTTCTTAATACAACGACTCGGCGGATGCATAGATTGGGTAACTGCATTTATTTTGATTTTGGCAACAAATTTGGACTTAGACTGGGACGGGGCCCTACGCGGGAAAGCCTCTGGCATAATCATTTGGCACATATGGCATAAAAGGGGGATACAGTGTACTTTCAGCATATAGCAAAGCGAACAAGCAAACACAGCAGCCACACATTTAGGCGCAACAGATGAGAATCGCTGTCTTTTGGACTTGGACTGGTGACATTTGATGTGTTTCGATTTCTAATCCATCATTGACGTAAAATGTGTACATTCGTATTTCTTTTGATAGGTTTCACGGGTATATAACAATCCAAATCATTTCAACATCCAGGGACAGTAAACGCCCGAAACTCCATCCCATGCAAATATGTTTTCCCCGAAGCCCGATGCAAAATCGCCATTGCCGTTTAGCCCGGTCCGATTTTGGGCATATCATGATGCTCGCTCAGCCTGGACAAGTACGTATTCAGCTCCTCGACGCGCTCTTTGTGTGTCTTTAACAACTCGGGTCTCGATCCAGACGATTGCGCAATCTGGAGAAGCTGTGTCCCAATGTCAGTCAATGCCATCCATATCAAGTCAAAGGGTGCAAACTGAGGCGGGATTTTTTAGGCTTACCCTCTTCTTTCTTGCTTCCTCGTACCGTCGCTCAGACTCCGTCTTCAGCACCACTGGTCCATCTTCTTCCTTGTCCTCGCCATCTTCATTGCTGTGACGATCATCGTCTATGGGACTCTTTTTCTTATCGCGGCTGTCGTCGCCATGATCGTCCCTTTTGACGAGTGCGGCATCATTTCCGGTCGAGAGGTTCTTTTCCAGGTCTGACTTGGCCGTCTTCTTCTTCTTCTTGCCGACTTTTGCGCCTTTCAGCTTGAGGGCGCCGCCGCCAATGGTTTTGTAATCGTCGGAGCCCATTGCTAATCGTCGGGTAACAGACAGCAAGAAGAGGCGCCTCTTGTGCGACGACGAGGAAGTTTTCGCGGCGCCGACAATAAACGACAATAAACGATGACGATAAATGAGTGAGAATGCAGATCGAATGCAAAGAGTCCAGATGGTCGCCTGCCTGCCTTAGTCATCAAGGAGAAAGGCCGACAATACGACGCTAGCATGTTTAAGCATTGAATGGCAAGCCAATGAGAAGCGAGCGAACAAGGGGGACCCAATTGCTACCATCTTTCGCTAGTACATTTACATGCGAGGGGAACAGCGGCTCGTGTGTGCTTCACACTTGGAACCGGTCATTAAAGGTTCCTTTTCGGTCCACCGACTCTTGTTTTTTTCTTTTTAATATATTTTTTATATTCAGGGGGAATTAACTTCGATTGTGCTCAGCATTCGTTTTTTTTTTCGGTTCTTCTTTCTTCTTTGTTTTTTACTTTTGAAGACGTCGTTTACGAAGACTACGATAATCTGTGTCCCGTCCTTTTTTTTCCGGTACCGAGGCCGGTTTCTGTTACGAGACAGCGCATTCCTTTGTTCCCATCGTCGTCGAAATCTGTGACTCTTACTCACGGAATACGACGACATCCTCATTCTCACGACCTGAGTTGGCTGGCCTTGAGCGATATGGGATATCTCTGCTGAAATTCGCCGGTCGAAAGATAAACAACTTGAAACACTGGGCGACCAGTGAGGAGGAGTAAGAAAAGAAAGGACAGGACAACACAAGATGCCCCTGCAGTCGCAATCGCGGGACTCGCTGGAGCTCGCGTCGCTGGCCAGCTCCAGCGTCGCCTACGACGGCGCCGCCTCCGAGGTGTCGTCGCGTCAGAGCATCTCGTCGTCACGGAGGCTGTCCATGGTGGAGGAGGAGGATCCCTTGAACGACGACAACCCGGCGGTGAGGGGCAGGCTGGGCCGCTCGTACTCGGTGTCGTCGGCGTTCGACTTTGCGGGCAACCTGTTCCCGCTGAGCTCGACGGCCGGCGCTGGCGGATACGCACCCATTGGCGCGCCGACGTCGGCAGGCAGGCCCAACGGGGGGCTGGGCGGAGGGTCGCTGGAGAAGCTCAAGACGCTGACGTATCTCAACGGCCTGTCGCTCATCATCGGGCTGATTATCGGGTCCGGCATCTTCTCCTCGCCCAGCCAGGTGAGCGCGAGGCTCGGGTCCCCTGGCGCGGCCCTCATCGTGTGGGTGGTGGCGGGCATTCTTGCGTGGACGGGCGGTGCCTCGTACGCCGAGCTGGGAGGCGCAATCCCCCTCAACGGCGGCTCCCAGGTCTATCTGGCCAAGACGTTCAGTGAGCTGGCCGGTTTCCTCTTCTCGTGGGTGGCTCTCCTGGTGCTGAAGCCGGGGAGCGCTGCCATCATCGCCATCATCATGGGCGAGTATTTCGTCAGGGCCATCATCGGCGCAGAAGCCGAGACGATTAACCCCTGGATCAACAAGGCCGTTGCGCTGGTGGGCATCTTTACGGTGACGTTTCTCAACTGCGTCTCGACGAGGGTCGGCACGAGGGTCAATGATTTTCTCATGTTCCTCAAGTTTGTGGCACTGTTGGGAGTGACCGTGGTGGGCATCGTGGTGGCCGCCACGGGTCTCTCGTTCAAGGGAGAGGCAAGCGGCGAGTGGAAAGCGCACGATTGGTTCACGGGCACGTCTTCGGATCCGTCAAATTGGGCGATTGCGTTGTACGCCGGACTATGGGCCTACGATGGCTGGGACAATGTGAGTTGCAAAAGAGAGTATATGTGAACAACGAAAGAGCTGCCATCTAACATGCGCTTCCATGTAGACAAACTACGTTGTGGGCGAGTTTCGCAATCCTAGCAGAGACCTTCCCCGTGTCATCCACACAGCCATGCCGCTGGTCATCGTCTCCTACGTCCTCGCCAACGTGTCCTACTTCCTCGTCCTCCCCTTGGCGTCCATCAACGCCTCCAACACCGTCGCCGTCATGTTTGGATCCAAAGTGTTTGGGCCGATTGGCGCGCTCGTCTTTGCGCTCATCGTCAGCGCGAGCTGCTTCGGCGCTCTCAACTCATCTACTTTTACCGCCGGCCGGCTCATCTACGTCGCCGGCAAGGAGGGCTACATCCCCGACATCTTTGGCCGGTTGGGTGTCGGCAGCAATGACAACGACCACGGCCTGTCGACGCAGCGCTCCCGCGGCTGGTTCTCCAAGAAGTTCCGCAGCTGCTTCGGTGACGAAGATGCTGGCTTGTTCTTCACCCCCATTTACGCCCTGCTGCTCAACGCCGTGCTCACATCGGGATACTGCATCGTCGGCGAGTTTAGCACGCTGGTCACGTTTTACGGCGTGGCGGGCTACACGTTCTACTTCGTCACCGTGCTGGGCCTCATTGTGCTGCGCGTCAAGGAGCCGCACCTGGAGCGCCCTTACAAGACGTGGATCTCCACGCCCATCATCTTTTGCTGCGTCAGTCTCTTCCTGCTCAGCAGGGCCGTCTTTGCGCAGCCGCTGCAGACCATGATTGTCGTGGCGTTCGTCGCGGCCGGCATCCCGGTGTACTTTTGGCGGATCAGAGGGAGAAATAAGTCTACGACACGGAGGAGCGGCGACATTGGCGACGCAGAGAAGCCGTGGTGGCGGTTCTGGAGACGGTGAAGGAAGCAATGTAGCATCTTTCTTCTTTCTTCTTCTTTCGTTTCTCGCGTCGGGAAAAATTCCCGCATGGATGTTTTACAGAATATTACTTATACTTAATAATGCCTCGTTTGAATTTTGCTGGTTTAAGGAGCATTGCTCGATTTTTGGCTGGGGTGGCTTCAAAAGGGTTACTTAGAGATAATGACGTGAACGGGCTGGCATTGGGAGGGCATGATTGCTAACGGATGTGAAGACTGCAATGAGTAACGCATGGTTGAAAGAGATGAATGCATTTATTTATAAGCGTGTATAATGAATAAAGGCTTTATTAATTACCATGTGTTGTAGAATGTTTGTCTCATGCCCATTGATGAAGGAAGGGTAATGACACTGATACCGGTTTGTACGAATGCAAGAATTGTTATAGAGGTAGGTAGTTTTTACGACAAGCGAATTGAATTGAAAAAAAAATTTAAAAAATAAAAAAAGATATAGTATTGTTGCTGGCACTAATAGCTAGATATGCAAGAGGTATTCGTGTCGTTGTTCAGCGCTATCATATACATGAGCCGATTTTGTTGTTGTGTTATTCATTTTGTGTTCTTCAGCAGGTGGGTTTTCTTATTCCCTCCTTTCTCAAGCCAGGCAATATGCCTCTCCAACTCGTCCCTTGGTTTCCTCCCACCGCTTTACTTCTTGACGGAGTTGATCTTGTCACGCTGGCCGTAAGACTTGGTGGCCCAGTCACCGTTGTAGACGATCAGGTCCTCAGGGCGGTAGTCGTGCTTGCCGGTGAGGTAGCTCTCCAGGATGGCCTTGGTGCCGTCGGCATAGCGCTTCTGGGCATCCAGGGAGGTTCCGGACATGTGAGGGGTCATGGCGTTGCCGAAGCCGAAGGGGTTGACGGCGGTGCGGAGAGGGTGGTCGCCGGGGGCGGGCTGGGGGAACCAGACATCACCGCCGTAGCCGGCGAGGTGGCCGGTGCGGAGAGCCTCGGCGACGTCCTCCTTGACGACGATGGCGCCGCGGGCGGTGTTGACGAGGTAGGAGCCCTTCTTCATCTTGCCGATGAGCTCCTTGTTGAACAGGCCCTTTGTCTTCTCGTGCAGCGGGCAGTTGATGGTGACGACGTCGCACTGGGCGAGCATCTCCTCGAGGGTGTCGACGCGGCGGCAGCCAATCTCGGCCTCGACCTCGGGGCTCAGGCCCTGGTAGTCAAAGTACAGCAGCTCCTTGCAGCCAAAGGGCTTGAGGCGGCGCAGGACGCGCTCGCCGATGCGGCCGACGGCGACGGTGCCGACGACCTTGCCCTCGAGGTCGTACTCCTGCTTGGCGACGGCGGCGACGTCCCACTTGCCGCTGGCGACCTGCTCGTGGGCGGGCACGAAGTTGCGCAGCAGCACGAGGATGGTCATGACGACGTGCTCGGCGACGGAGACGACGTTGGAGCCGGTGACCTCGGCGACGGTGATGCCGCCGTTGGTCTTGTTGGCGGCGACGAGGTCGACGTGGTCGGAGCCGATGCCGGCGGTGATGGCAATCTTGAGGTTCTTGGCCTTGGCCAGACGCTCAGCCGTCAGGTAACCAGGGTGGAAGCTATTTCGACTGTTAGGACTGGGGATATCGTTGGACATGGTGACCTTCGACATACGGGGTGGTGATGATGACTTCGGCGTCGACCAGCTCCTGGTCGAACTTGGAGTTCTCGCCCTCCTTGTCCGAGGTGGTGACCAGAGTGTGGCCCTGGTCCTCGAGCCACTTGCGGATGCCGAGCTCGTTCTCAGTCGTTCCGAGAAGGGCAGGGACCTGTAGAGTTTTTGCGTGTTAGCAAAATGATGCCCCGTACATATCAAATGCCTGTATACCAGAGTTTACAACCATCACCACTTCTCTCTCAAAGTCATTGGAGAGCTTCCCCCCCCCCCCCCGCATGTAAGATTCTCGGCGGCCAACAGCCGGTCTCTCCCCCCCGCATTCTCGCAAGAGACCGGCGCACAAACGGCCCCATCTTGAGTGGTTTGGATCGAGACGATTGCGGCCCCCACAAATACGGTCCGAGAATCAACATGGACAGGAAAAGCTCATGGGCCAATGGCACAAAGAGAGAAGGCAGGATGACGAGTTTGGCAAAGACAAAGGGGGGGAGAGGGGGGAAACACAACAACTCACTTCCTGGGCGTGCTTGCCACCGTCGTAGAGGACGAGGAGAACTTTGACCTTTTCGCGGGCGGATGTCAGCGTGCGGATCGATGAGGGCATGAGGCGTGGCTTGGTGAAGGAGCCCAGCTTGGAGGTGGCCAGGCCGGCTGCGCGCGAGGAGAATTGACGGGAAGCAATAGAAGGGGTTGAAGAGACGAG